CTCCCTCCCTGTCCCGGCTTCTCCCTCACGCGGCTGCAGCGGCTCGACAGCAAAGTATCCTGCGACCCTTACTGTAGCAATGGGCGAGCGGCACCAGTGAAGACGTAGACAACCGCGCCTCTTCCCCATCTACCGATTCGGGAATGAAACTAAACGGTACAAATTCCTCTTCTTCCCCTTTCTAGGCTTTCATTTACTTCCTTTCACTTGCGTTTTGTGATTTTACTCATTTTTTATGCATTGTTCATTTTAGGTAGCCGTGGAGGGGAAACTAGTTTTAAAATGTTGGCGGTTTCGGAAAGATAGATTTGTGCCGAGAAGCCTATTTGAGGTAAGAATGTTACTTCTTAGGTTTAATTACTTTATGAGCCAAGATATCCTTATATCCAAAGTTAATTGCGAGTTTCAGGTTGTTTACGTGAGGAGACGAGTTCGAGTCAAGCATGCAGAAAATCTTCGTAAGTTAACTTCGTTAAAATTAAGGTAAATTAATTATAAGCTAACATAAAAATTGTTTAAATCTTAAGGTTTAATATTATTTTTAATGGGTTATTAAGCTCAATATAAAAGTTACTGCAACATTCAATCAGTTACCGAAGATCAATAATATAGTGTGGCAACTGAGACGAGTAATTATATTTTCAAATTTGAGTACTCGTCTTTATTTCAAAAATGTATGTTGATTTATATATATGCATTAGTTTAGTTAGATTTATCTTAAAGTATATTCTTCATATTATTAGAAAGAAAAATTATTTATGACTGAAAAGTTATGAAAGATATGCACGAAATGAATGATATTTAGATGATAATTATATGTAAGATAAATATGTAAGATAGACATATAAAAAAATATGCATAATATAAGTAATATCTATGCATAAGATAGATATATGAATGATATGAAAGATATACATGATGAATATTTGTATAACAGAGTAAATATGCATGTTAGTAAATGCATAAAAATATATCAGAATAATGCCTGTTATGAAGAATAAAATAAATTGTATATGAATGCTTGTATGTGCATGTTCAGAGAAGAATTTCATATTCTAATGTTACGGTTAGAGGATGTTAGTGTACCTGTAAGCGTAGAGTTCTTATACCATCACAGACAATTGTGATAATTAGTTCACTGAACGATGTGCCAACGAGATAATATCAGTTAGGAATGAGTAGACCAAAACTTTACTCCCCAGACAGTTGCGATATTTACATTACTAATCATCGTGCCGACTGAATAATATCGGTTAGAGTCAGGGAATGATCTTTTTGCCCTAGACAATTGCGATGTGTAAATCGCTAATCGTTGTGCCGACAGGAGCCGACGAGAGTTGAGAGGACAATATCAACCAAGGGCGTGTAAGGTTTTGTTGATGATGATCTTCACAGAGACTTAAATGTTTGTAAAGAGTAAAAAATAAAAGTAAATTTACGATAAATCTATATAGAAGACTAATGCATGTTCATTTAAAAAAATGTTATTGATGCATGCATTAGTATATATCAGATTGCTTATAAAAATATGAAGATCAGGATACATTTTTCTCAGGTTACTGTAGTTTAAGTGTGTGATTACTCATGAGTTATCTTTAAATAACTCATTATATTGCTTTAAATTTTTTTAGGTTTTAGATATTTGAACAAGAATAATAAAAGATGAGCAACTGTGTATAAAAGACGAGAACAACAAATAAAAATATACAAATTTTCTACTCGATAATTTTAATTTTTTTTTTGTGCTCATTCATATATTATTTGAATATTAAACTGCTCGTGATAGAAATAAAATAACAGAACATTGATTTCCACCGTCTGACCGTTCATTCCTGTTGAGCAAAAGATACGACTTCTTAGATAAATAGTGCACCTGCCCAACATGGCACACAATAGATCTCAATGGCGATCTGATTCCCAACCCAGATTTCACCAAATGGACATTGATCAACCAAAACTGTGCGACAACGCTTTTCTTATTCATTTCTTTGCCGATTCTTCCTTTTGTCTTAGCCCTTGGCCCCTGCCATGAAATTTGGACAACAGTGGAGTGCATATTACAGTCATCCAAGTGATCCAGAATCATCCAACTAAAAAAACGAGCTTCACAATCTCACCATGCAAAGGAAATCTATGAATCGGTACCTATCCAAAATCAGAACAAAGGTTGATATCATCGCCTCGGTCTGTGCTCTAGTAGACCCAGGAGATATTATCCAATACTCCTTGAATGACCTTTTTTCCAACTATCATGCTTTCAAAACCGCAATCCGTTCAAGTCTTCAACCAATCTTCCTAGATGATCTCTACACTTTTTTATGCAACAAAGAAAGCCAAGAACTCAATCTTGTTAGTGAAATAGCCAAAGAAGCGTCCCTATCTGCAGCTCTCATGTCTTTCCATGGTAGAGGTTAAAATTGAAACAAGTCATACTCACACTATACCAACCAAAATAACTTAACCTCAGACCATCTACAATGCTAAACATAGCATCAAACTTATGTCAAATCTGCAAGAAACTAGGGCTTGCTGCATTCAAATGCTGGTATAGACATGAAAAATCCTATCAAACTCTCACTTCCCTTATTACAACAACCGCTAATTCAACGAACAACAAATAGTACCTAAATAACTGAGCTTCCAAGCACCTTATGGCAGAACCAAACCACCTAAATAACGCTCAAGAATTCCAATGAGACAACACAATCATACTCGGGAATGGTCAAAAGCTTCCCATTACCCATATCGGGCAAGGATCCTACCCACACTTATCAATAAGCTGCACTTATCCAATTTACACTATGTTCATAATAGAGTGTTGTTATCTCTGTTCGTAAACTAATCAAAGCAAATTCTTGCTCCATTACCTTCACTGCTAATGGTTACTGCATCACCTGCTTAAAGACAAACCACACATTACTTGAATGTCCCTGCACTCATGGGCTCTACTTAATTCATCACTGTCAATTACAACACCTCCACCCTCTTTAGCACTCATACCAGTTCAACATTTCCCGCATCTTTGACACTATTGGCTTGGTCACCTATCAGCTCAGATGCAATCAACAATTGCTTTCAAATTTTCTCATTTACAAGTGCCCCTTACATGGAATCTAATTTGAGTGGTAGTAGCTCTAATGACAGAGTTATAATTGTGGGCGATCAAATTATTAAAAAGTGTGAATGTTTCAGATATCTCGGGTCTATTATTTAAAGTGATGTTGATATTGTTGAGGATGTTATTAGTAGAATTCAAGTTGGTTGGTTGAAGTGGAGGAAGCCTATTGTGTGACAAAAAAATACCTATAAACTGAAAGGAAACTTTTATAAGATGGTGGTGGGACCTGCAATGATTTTTGACACAAAATGTTGGCTTTTAAATGAGAAGCATAAAACAAACTTAAGTGTTGCTGAGATGAACATGCTTAGTTGGATGAGTGGCTTGACACTTACGGACAAAATGCAAAATTAATATATCCGTAGTATGATTATTGTAGCTCCAGTGGCGAACAAGATTAGAAAGAGTTGTCTTTGATGGTTTGGTCACATTAAACGTCGACCATAGGATCCGACTTGAAGAGTAGATGTTTTCGATTCAACTGATGTTAAGAAAGGTAGAGGTAGACCTAAAAAGATTTGGGCATATTTTTTTTTTAAATCTTTATCTATTAGAATTAAATGAAAATATGACACTCAGCAGGACACATTAGAGAAAAGGATTCCAGTAGCGGACATCACTTAGTGGGATAAAGTTGTTGTTGTTGTTGTACAACTACGCCACACATACTTACAATGTAATTTCTGCAGTCTTGCTAATAGTCACAAACTCTCATTTACTACATCTTCTTCAATGTTAGAACTAATTCACTCTGATGTATGAGATCACTATGAGATCCTTTTCCCCCTCCTTCCTTACAATCTTATAAATATTTCTTGGTGTTTGTTGATGAATATTCTCACTGTAGATGGATATATCTCGTTCACACCAAAGATTGAAAGTTAATTTAATCACCACATTAAAACTCCCTGTACCAATGGTGGAGGTGAATATGTGAACCATAATCTCCAAAACATCCTAAAAAAATGTGGCATACAACACCAATACACCTATCCCCCTACACCCGAACAAAATAGTATCACCAAGCGCATGCACCTTCACTTAATTAAAAGTCTGTATCATATTGACTGCC